CACCAGTTCTGGAGTCAGAACTGAAACAGGGCCTTGGCTGAGACATTAGCACAACTGACTCCATGGTGGAAGTACCATTCAGGCTGTAAAACTCAGCATGGAGACACCTGCCAAAAACAAAACAAAGGCCTCATCAATCAAAGTCCACAGTTCTGGGAAAGTCTCTAAGTGTACTAACCTTGCTTTTTGGCTTCCGTAGTTCTGCTTCTGGTTAACTGTTCTTGTTCACTGAAGTATGTCAACCCAGAACATGAGAAAGGCTCAGTGGTACACTGGGATCTGGAACACACACAGTGTAGCCATCAGCTGGCTAGCAAAGACTTTCTATTGGCTTAGACCTGTGTCCAGGCAGTCTTCTCTGGGGGATACCCCACAACCAGGACCCAGAGTTGGCCCAGGCTGAATTTACCCCCAGGAGCTTAAGAGCAATGAAGATCGCCATTCCAGATAAGGATCCACCCTCAGATGTGATGGCTGACAGGATAGGGTTAGATAGAGTCTCCATGAAAACAAAGCTTTGTGCTTCTCTCTGAGGGGTTATCTGGGCTACTGAGGTGGAAAGAGAACTGGCCTAAAGATGAGTCCAGCATGCCCTGGGCCGGGGTCCTGGGCTTCCTAAAAAGGAGAAATCAGCTGGCTATACCAGCGGCCACCTCTCTCTGCTTCCTGACATCCTGACTGTGTACACTATGACTGGCTGCCTCACTCTCCTGCCACCATGACCTCCCTACCATGATGGAATGTACTTCTTAAAACTGTGGGTAAAAAACAAAGGAAAGAACAAACGAATCTTTCCTTAAGGCATTTTGTCACAACAGTGGGAAAGTGACATGGCAGGGGTTAGGGACATGCCTTCACCCAGTTATTCAGCCGGCCACCCTCACCGCCTGGCAGTGCACCACACAGAGAGTCACGGCGGCCATCTCACCCATAGGAGAGGACAGGGCCAGAGTGTGCTGTGGTTGTGGCTGTCCCAAATCCCTGTACAACAGCTTAAAAGATCTTGTGGAGGGGCCAGGAGATGGCTCAGTCCGTAAAGCATGTCCCGTGCAAACATGAAGGTGAGTTCAATCCCCAGGACCCGTATAAAGCCAAACAAGACAGGCTCAGTGGCACACACCTGTAATCCTGGCACTTGGGGAGGCAGAAGCAGGTGGATCTCTGTGAGTTCAAGGCCAGTCCAGGACAGCCAAGGCTACACAGAGAAACAAACAAACAAATACACATACACACACACACACAAAACAAACAAACAAACAAACAAACAAAAAAAAAAAAACCCAAAAAACTAAGCGGGACAGTGGTGGTGAACTCCTTCTTTAATCCCAGCACACAGGAGGCAAGGGTAGACAGAGGCAGAGTCCAAGATGTGATGAGACACGGGGAACCCCAGTGCTTGGAAGACAAAGAGGAGTAGATTCCCAGGGTTCCCTGGCCACCCAGTTATACCGGGGTGGCCCACACCAGTGAGAGACCTCGTTTCAAAAACCAAGGTAGAGATTCACTAAGGAAGATGCACAAGGTTGACCTCTGGCCTCCACACATACGCACACACACATGCCTATGCACTTTCACACACATGACCACACACACACACACACACACACACACACACACACACACACGCAGAATAGTTGTTGAATCAATGGTATTTTTTTCCCCAGCAACTTAGCTCTCTTGAACTGTACATCGTATTGTTCCTGCTGTTTTGAGACAATGTCTCACACTGTAGCTCAGGCTGGCCTGGGACCCACACTGTAGCTCAGGCTGGCCTTAACCTCACAGCAATCTTCCCGCCTCCAACTCTCCAGTGCTGGGATTACAGTCATGCCGCACCTGCTATCGTGTGTGCTACCAGCCCACGAGCAGGGGAAGTGTTTGTGCAAGGAGGCATCACTCCCAGCTCACTCCCACGACGTAAAAACATGTCTGAGATACACCTGTGTGCGGCGTAGCCTTTCAGAAGAGGATGCCTTCAGTTGCCAAACCCGGGAGTGTAATTTATGACCAAATAAATTTCAGGCGCCTTGAGATTGTGTCAAGCTCTTTGAGATGCATTCTTGGGAGCTAATTCATACAGAATGAAAGGAGTCCACTTTCAAGGTGAGAGTGAAGGGAGTTGACCGATGTGACCTCACTCATTGCTCAAGGAGTCCAGAGCACACATTTCAAGAAAGGCTACATGCTTCTGGTGAGGCTCCGCCCTTGGCTCTCATCCCCGGCCCAGCTGTCAGGACCATCTCCAACCTGCACACCTCAAGGCTTCCCAGCTGGTTGTTTTCTCTGAGGGTAGTCCTTCAAGTGTGGGTTCTGGAATCTTCCAAGAGTCTAGAAATAAAACGTGTCTCCTCTATCTCCTGGGTCCTCTGCAACTTGCCTCCCATGATTCTAAGAAGGATGCCTTGAAAATAAAAATTTTATTACCAAGAGATAAAATCACCAAAATGTCTCAAAGACAAAATAAAGACCCTCTGAGGCCATAGGAGCTACTGTGATGTGACAAGCGACAAAACTGAGAAGCTGAAAACAAAGAGAAGCCCAGGTGTCACTGCTGGGCACACCTGAACAAGAGCCCTACTTACCCCAGTCAAAGCAAAAGACGAGCCACAGAGAGTACTCGCCTCAAAAAGCAGGCATGAAGTGTGAGAGAGGTGGAGGGAGGCAACTAGAAACACAAATGTGGGAAGTGTGAACCCAGGAAGAACAGGAGAATGGCTGGGAAGGAAATTTCAAAACCCTTCTCCCCCGGTCAGATCAAGTGGCTGCTGCTCACCCCCCGTTATCCATCCCCAGCCTCCAAAAAAAGCACATGACCACAGGACCAGAAAGCCCACGCTACTCCAGTTTACAAACAGCACGCTTTGCCATGGACATGGCCTGAGAACATGGCCTGCATGTTCAGGATGTTAAACTCCAGCAGAGGTGTGTGGCGGCTACGTGCAAACCTCAGTCTCTGAAGACTGAGCGTGCCCACCCAGCCATTTCGTCCCATTGCTGTGCACATCTTTTCATGATCTGCTGTCGTTCCGTGACGAAACACCCAGTGTTTCAGCTCAGGCTTCCCGTGCATTTGTATACCTGCCCACAAATTCTAGCTGCCACACATCCAGTGGGAGTGAGGCTGTGGTGAGGATCCAGGAGCTGGGCTGTTCTGGGAGGGAGAGGGATGACCAACCAACCCATTGCTGCTGCTGCTGCTGCTGCTGCTGCTGCTGCTGGGGCCTTGCCCCCTTCAGCAACACGGCCGGAAAGCTGAGAGGTTCCACGCCACCACGGCATCCTTCTTAGAATCATGGGAGACAAGTTGCAGAGGACCCAGGAGAGAGAAGAGCCACATTCCCACCTGTTCTCCAAACGAACCGCAGCCTCTCCCAGGAGCTCTCAGTGCCAGGAGGTGGCAGAGGTCTCCCACTGCACAAGCCCTCACCAGCAACACAACAGGCCCTGGCGTTTGTTCTGGAAGTTTCTCTGCTGCTGCCACAGAATACCTTCTTCCGTTTCTCTCAGGGACTCAGGCCCGGACTGTCACCCGTGGCTTGCTGGCTTCCGATCCCCTGAAGCTCCGACTCGCACAGAGTGGCTCTGTCCTCTCTATGTGCCTATCCTGCAGGCCCTATCTCAGGTCCCTGCCAGCTCCCCTACCTGTTCCCACATCTTTGGGGACAGCCTCTCACTTCAGCTTTCAGCCTGAGGGTGCTATTTCATTCTGGGACCCCCGACTCATACAAGTGGGTAGATAGTGTCACCCTCCCCCCATTTCATGGAGAGGTAAACTGAGGTGGAAAGAGGTGGGAGAAGTCACCCAAGCTCACACATCTGGAGGGAAGTGGCCTGGATGGGAAAGTTGAGGGAATACAGCAGTTCCCCTTCTTTTTTGGAACTGGGGGGTGAGGTGCAGTAGGAGTGGGGTGAGGTCTCAGGCTGGGGGAGGGGTCTTGGTGGGGAACAGGCATTGTAATGGGGGAAGGGGAACGGGATGGAGGAGCTTTGGTTCTGTTAAGAAGGATGCAGGGGAGACGTGAAGCCCACGGGCGTGACCCATCAGGTTGGCTAGGGCTGCAGTGCCCACCACTTGGGGGAGCCAGTGAGGCAGGTGGCAGATATTTGGTCAAAGGGGGGGAAGTTTAGTTACACAAATAGGCTGTCAGTTGATCAGTTGCCTGTGGTCAAAAGTAAACCCAGGATGGGGCCTGGCCCAGCCCTCTCTGCTCTGTGGAGTTGGGGGCCCCGGTGCACCCTGAAGCCTCATGGCTTTCCGCAGCCCACCCTGGGCAGCCCAGAGCGTGTGCCACCCTGCTGCAGGGTGCCAGCGTGCTGCTGATGCAAACGCGCTCTGTGCTGAGCCCTGCAGGATGCTGGCATCACATTGCCTTCAGGAAGCCCCCCCCCCTTTCCTGGAAAGGGGGCGCCGTCCTGATGGCTAGTTGACAGGGCAATAACCAAAGACTCAGGAAATGTACAACACTCACCCACCATTCAGGGATCTTCCACCCGTGGCTGTGGTGCCCCCAGTTTCCCTACTCCCACGGACACTCCCTGGGAGGTGCAGGTAAGGCTCCGGGAGGTAAGGTCTCAGCTTCCTGCTGTATTTCAATTACAGATGCAGCCAGGTGGCTCGGAGAGGCCAGATGATTGACTGGCCCCAGCTGCACCACCCCAATTAAGGCTTTTGGCTCAAGATCTTCCCCCTTTCAGGTGATTCTCATACTCTGGCAGGTTTGGACAAAAACCACAGCTCTGAGACCACACAGTAGCTTCCTGGTCCTTCCAGAGCCCCCCGCGGTTGACCCTGGGAGTTTGGGGTCCAGGCGCCAGCGGGGCGGGCCAGGTGTGCAGAGGGCGGCGCCGCTGCAGCCCTGCCCAGGGGCGGAGCTCACCTGGGGATCAGGTAGGCAGCTCCCGGGCAACCCGGCCGCCGGGGAAGCCTGGGCGCGCAGCAGCCTCGGCCTCGCTAGGGCTCCAGGGACGCGGGCAGGGACTGCGGCCCGCCCCACGCCCGGCCGTGGAGCAGCCAGGACGCCAGCTCACCATGGGGAGACGCCTCAAGTTTCTGCAGAAACTGCCCTTCCTGGGCCAGGACCATCGGTACAAGCCGCTGGAGAGAGACGAAGTGGAGACCCTGGTGAGTCTGGGCGATCCGGTGTGAAGCAAGGGATCGGATTCCACATCTGTCCCCTGGGGCGCTGCATCTGAGCCCCAGAACCCCATGGGTCACTTTACACCGAGATCATTCTCAACACCTCCTACGACTGAAAAGAAGCTGGCTTCGGAGGAAGCAGCTCAACCGGGCTCAAGGCAGAGAACTCAGTTAACCGGGGAAGGCCAGCCCATTCTGGGAATGAGAAACTGAGGCCTGCGCGTTTTAAGGGCTCGCTGCTGGCAGACCACCCAGCCCGGGACCCGTATTCCCCATCTGGTCATGACTTAGGTTTCTCCGACTCCAGGGAATTTAAATGCCTCTGCACACACAGGCAGTTGTACGGGCTTTTCAACGCTGCTGTAATTGAAAGGGGTGGGGTGGAGATGGGGACCAAAAAGCCACACAAAATCCTGGCCAAGTTGAAGAGTGAAAACCGAAACGGCACAATAGGGCTCCCGACTTTATTTCGTCTACATCGCTGTGGTTTTTAAAAGGTGTTCTGAGCCAGGCAGGGTGGCACACGCCGCCTTTCATCCCGGCCCTCGGGAGGCAGGGACAGGTGGATCTCTGAGTTCCAGGTCAGCCAGAGTGACACAGAGAAACCCTGTCCCCCTCCAAAAAAGACCCAGTCTGAGCTGTATGACCCTGGACCTCCAGAGCTCTCTCTGGGATAACCCTTCAGAACTTCAGCGGCGGGAGTTTCTCTCCAGGACCAACAACCGTATAGTTAGTTGTTCTGTGACTCTGATAGGGCAGCTGGGGTACGCCAGTGGGTTGGTGATCCAGCACAGCCCCCCACCCCCACTGCCAGCTTTGTAAGGTCTGAGGAACACCCAGAACACCATGTCTGTCCATGGCCCATACGGGGGAAGAGGGGAAGGGGGGTGTGTGTGCCCAGGTTAAATTTGTTTTGTAAAATTTTTTTTGTAAAACAGAAAATGTTTTGTAACATTTCAGCTTTTTTTTTCCCCCAAAGAATGCCATAATCAAAACATTTGATTGTATGGTTCTTGAATGTTTATGCATTTATCCACAAAGGTTATTGTATGAGTCAGTGTCAGTGTTGGTGTCAGAATTCTGGTGTTAGGGCTGGCCCCAAAACCATCCATGTTTCTCTGCAGCCTCCCTGGTTAGCGGCGTACCATAATCCTTTGCTGATGCCAAGTGTCTCCTTACATGTTTGTAATGTGTGGTTAACAGGGGTTTGAAGTGTGTTTGTTGACACAGATGGCTTCCTTCCACCTTCTATTTTTCTCTCTCTGTCTTTTGATGTTTTGTGCAAGGCTGGGCATCTCCAAGGCCTACTGATGTGTAGCTGGTGGTCATCAGGGAGTCTCAGAGTGTGCGGGCCTGGGTTTGGTGTGACTCACATGGAGACACTTTAAGCCAGGTGGACTTGGGTTCTGAGCGGTTCAGAAGAGCTGTCTGCAGGTGTATTCCCCATCTGCAGGTGCGTGGAGGTGAGGGAGTCCCCTGGGCACGTGGTGAGCCTAACGGTAGACCTGTGAGGAGGCTGGTGATACTGGCAGTGCTCAGAAAAGGCTAGCCGTTGCCGATGTGCCGTCTCCAAAGCGGGCCTTTGCAGAAGGCTTGCAGTAGGGGCTCAGGGGAGAGTGGAACCTGCAGGGGGTCAGTGCGTGAGACCCTGGCTTCCACCCTCAGAACCGCGAGAAACAAAACAACCGCACTGAAAACCAGTCCCCAGGAATGAGGTGAGGGAAGAAGGCCAGAGGTGACACCGCTTCCTGCTGGGGGTTGGTGGCCCCCAAGAGGCCTTGGAAGGACCCCCAGTTCCCTCTGGGATCACTTCTGACTTGGTTTCATGATCAGTGGGGTTTGTGCTGTGTCCCAGGTGCTGGTCAGCGTCACAGCTGCCCAGCTTTGAGAGGAATCGGTCCTAAGAACTGGCCACGTCCCCTCAAAGGCCTCTGGATGAACTCTACGGCAATTTTGGGATAGAGAAGAGTGTCGGGGTTCCAGGCAGACACCAGCGGGTTCTTGCTGAGTATGGACTGGACGGTCCTAGTCAGAGCTGAGGACAGAAGTATTCACAGGTCAGTTAACTGAAGTTCAGCTTCCCAAGTTGGGACGAGAGCTCCTTTTTGCTGTTTTGAGGGTGATAAGTGGACAGGCGTTTGAAGGACTCCTTGTTTTTGCCGCTGGACAAAGCTCTCCCTGACATCCAGCTGAGTAGGAGAGAAACATTAGACTAGAAATTCCTGTTGTGGGAAGGCCAGGTGCTAGATCCGGGATCTTGACTCTGCCCCCGAGGCTGCTCCTGAGGTGGGTGTGACTCCCGCTTGCCCTGCCATCCCGACTATTGAGCTTGTCACCCTTCTGGGCTCTCCGGATGGAGGTCTGGGTGCCAGAAGATGTGCACGTACAGTGGATACCTTGTCATTCAACTCGGCCCCCAGCCCCTGTTGTGTGTGTGTGGGGGGGGGGCAGAGCTGAGGAAAATGCTCGCACTCTCTACCCTTAGGCATCTGTGGTGGTGGGTGGAAGCAGGTTACAGTTGACCTTGACTGTGGAGTGTGGTGCCTGGGAGAGAATAATGTCTGAGATTAACAGCAGTGGAAAGATGAGTGAACTAGGCAGAGTTCCAGACAGGAGGAGGGACGAACAGGGGCTGGACTGAAAAGGTCAGGCTACCCAGGTGACCCCAGGAGCCTTGTCAGGAGGAATCTGGCCTTTCTACTGACAGCAGTGGGGGCCTTTGAATAGTTTTAAGTCAGGACTTGGCAGTTGTCCACAAATTCATAACTATGCCAGACTTTAGAGACGTGGTAAAGGGGAAAAAAATCACAGATTTCCGTGTTTAAGACCCAACACTCAGGCTGAAGAGACAGCTTCTTGGTAAAGAGTACCGGTCGCTTTTCAGAGGACCCAGGCTCAATTCCAAGACCCACATGGCAGCTCACAGCCATCTGCAATTCTAGTTCCAGGGAATCCACATACTCTTCTGACCTCTGGGATCACTGCATGCATGTAGTGTGTATACACACACACACACACAGAGAGAGAGAGAGAGAGAGAGAGAAAGAGAGAGAGAGAGAGAGAGAAAACACCCATATACACTAAAAAATAAAAGTAAAAAATAATTTAAAAAAAAAAAAAAAGGCCTGACACTTGTCTAAACATGTGCAAGGCCCTGGGTTCTATCTCCCCATAATATATCACAGGACTTATACATACATATTCTTAGCCTGAGGCTGACCCACGCCCCTCAGAAGTCACCAATCTGTGGGGAGCTTAGAGAAGATGGTGGCATCCTCTGCCCCTTGTCATCTTCAAGGCCCTTTGTCATCTTCTGAGGTGTGACTTCAATCCATATTATCATTCAACCTGCCAATGGAAGGAGCCACAGGCTTACAGCTCAGCTGTGGGTACAGGCTTGTCAGTATAGAGCTCAAAGCTGCTCCTGACAGACAGGAAAGACTAAGACCCAACACACGATGTGCAGCAGCTGGTTTCCTTCTCCACCCCTGACTGAATAACGCTTTGCCCCCGAGCTCGCAGCCAGTGCCTGTGTGTGTGGTGAGTCTTCCTGGCTCAGGGTCTCCCACGAAGGCGTGGCCACACTGTGTGCAGGGCTGTGGCCTCAGCTGGAGCCATCCACTCCTAAGCGCTATGGCTGTGCCAGGCCAGTTTCCTGGTCATGCAGTCCTTTCCACGGGGCTCCCTGCTGCAAGCTTGATGGGTTGTGCGGTATGAAGGCCTAAAGGCAGACTCAGAATAGCCGCAACCCCTCCCGAGAATGAGGACTTACAACCTCTGATGTACCTCTTTGCCATTCTGTGATGGAAGTCCAGAGTCAGCCCCCTCCACAGGGAAGGGAAGACACACCGCTCACGTGGATACCCGGGAGCTGGGTGGGAACTGGGGGAGGGGATTTCCCTCAGGCTGCCCTTCCACGGTAGTAGCAAGATTTCCAGCCCGATATGCAGATCTGTCACCCAGCATTCTGGAGCTGGAGAGAGGAGGATGGACATTCAAAGTGTGTGTGCGCTGACCAGGAGCTTGCTAGTTTAAGGAGATCATTCTGTGAATCTGCCATCAAGCAGGCTGTGACCAACAGCTGCAGAACTGGCTTGGCCGCTTACAGATAAGGAACATCTGGATTGCAGAGCTGCTGTTTCTTCACTGCTCTCTGTTGTGTTTCATAGCTCACTCCAGGGCTCCTTGGTGGTGGCAGGCCCATGCCAAGCACTTGATTGCTACTGGCTGCCCTTCTCTGCCCTGCCAACCTCTGTGGTTTATACTGGAGCATCCCCCAACTGAGATCTATAATGTCTCTGGTCTCCTGTCACTGAGGTGTGTTGAGATTGTTGTCACTGGTGCCACCAGGCCTGTGCCTATCAGGCACAGTTGCTGAAGCAGGTTCAACTTAGTTCTCAGGGAAGCCTGAAGGTCCTGAAGAATCAATGCAGAGATGACACCCTAGGACATGTTTAGTCCTAATGCTGCAAGCCTTGTCCTCAAGGGTAAAGAAGCCTAGAGTCAGAGCTCTGGAGCCAGGATCTACCTATACAGGTGTGTGCCTGTGTGTGTGGTGCGGGAGGGGCTCAAGCTAGGAGTTGGGGCTCCTGAGCACTCTCAGTGGCCTCATGGGTCATCCACCAGATGGATAGGTGTCCCTCCTCAATAAGGAAGCTACTTCCACCAGGGTGGGAACTAGTCTGTCTATGCCCAAAGCAGCCTGGCTTATAGAGAGTGTTTGAGCTCTCCTCCTGCCCTGCCAATGACCAATTGAAATGAGCACTGGCAGAAAGTGCATCCAGGGACCTCCTAACTGGGACAAAATGGGCCTTGGCCAATGACCCTAGCAGAGTCAAGAGCTGGGGTTGCAGAAGCTGGATGAGGTGACTGTGAGTGTGAGCAACACTGTCGGGCCAGACTGAAGCCTATCACACGAGGTGCCAGTGGGAAGAGGATGGGAGGGGGACCCAGGCTGCCATTCCTGGGCTTTCCCACAGCAGAGA